GGCGACAGGGAGGCTGCTTTTGAGAGAAAGTGGCATGGGGGCCGCTTTGCTCTGTCTCCATATAACTCCACGTTAGAGGGGAGCCGGGAGCCTCCAGGAGCCGCTGCTCCCACGGGCGGCACGTGGGTCTCCCTGCAGGTGTTTGCTGTTCGAGGGAAGTTAACAGTAAACAGCTAACTACCGGCCAAGGATCGTCTCTAGAAATGAGGCTTGGTTTCTGTGCCAGCGACTTGCTCACGGGAGAGCGGAGGGAATAGTTGCAAATGAGACAGAATGTCAATATTTGATAGGTCTTCTATGTCCAAGCCAGGAATCATACAGGGCTATAGAAATGGTTGACACTGAAAAATCTTGAAACTCTGATTTTTCTAAATCCTCTGGGTGGCATAATCAGCTAAGTGTGTCGGGGGTGGAGAGGTCGGCCGGCCGTCCGTGTGCGGGGCTGTGTCCTGCTGTCTGGCCGCCCACCGGGAGCCGAGGGGCCAGGGCCGAGGCCTCCAGGCTCGGGGGCTGTCGGTGGGCTTGGAGGGGAGCTAGGAAGCTAGGGGGTCCCGGAGCTCCAGTGGGGGAGAGTGAGGCTCCAGGAGGGAGGGCAGGGCTACAATGTGGGGTGTGAGGAATGCTTCCCACGGGCAAGTCCATGGCAGGTACATGTGTGGCCACGGGAGCGGGTCCCGGGGTCAGGTGGCTTTAAGGGGTCGGTTTCAGGCCCGGCCGACGTGGCTCAGTGGTTGAACATCGACCTACGAACCAGGAGGTCACGGGTTCGATTCCCAGTCAGGAAACATGCCCGGGTGGAAGGCTCAATCCCCAGTGGGGGGCGTGCGGGAGGCAGCCAGTCAGTGACTCCCTCTCATTGTTGACGTTTCTCTCTCTCCCTCTCCCTTCCTCTCTGAAATCAACTAAATACATATTTTTATATGAAAGCAGGGGGAGTTGGTCTCCTTAATGGATTGCACAGTTCTAGGAAAGTGAAATTGCCCAAACTATAGGAGTGCGCCGACGAGGAACCAACATCAATGGGAGTTTTCACGTTTTTAATCCTCAGAGCTCAGCAATTAGCCAGATGGATGCAATCCAAAATGCCAACAAAATCAGATCCTGGCTTGCCTTTCTCCAGCAGGTGCCAAGCAAAGGTCCTCACAGGGGAATGCACGTTGACAACATGAGATAGATTAAGTATGTATAAACATGTTCGCGTGGACGTAACTGAAGGCAGCTCCGAGCCTGCGACGTTGAGGATGTTTTACATGAGGGGAAACTGTAGCCTCACTTAGTGACTAGGTTGGCAGGTTTCATGAAGATGGCGGCACACGTTCCCTCGCCTCACAGAGGGGCTGTGTGGAGGGTGGACATGGGTGTGAGTCAGTGCGTCCGAGTCCGCCTCTTCCAGGGGCCTGAGTCCGTAAATCGCAGAGTCCTGGTCCCGGCTGCCTGTGTGGGCTGTGCCCGGCCGAGTCTCTTACGGCACCGATGTCTACAGCAGTGGCTGTTTTCTTGTATGAATTTAAAAATTGGATGTGGCCCTGGCCGGTTTGGCTCAGTGGATAGAGCGTCGGCCTGCAGACCAAAGGGTCCCGGGTTCGATTCCAGTCAGTGGCACCTACTTCAGTTGCAGGCTCCTCCCCAGCCTGGACCCTGGTTGGGGCTCGTTCAGGAGGCAACCCATCGATGTGTTTCTCTCACATCCATGTTTCTCTCTGTCTCTCCCTCTCTCTTCCACTCTCCCTAAAAATCAATGGAAAATTATCCTCGGGTGAGGATTAACAACAACGAAAAAGGAAAACTGAGGTGATTCCCAATAGGAATGAGGCATGACTCACCCTCGAGCGTCTCTTCGGAGGAATGTTGACTCTAAGGAGGTCGGGTGTGGTGTCCCCTGTGGGCGTGTGGGTGGTGCAGGTGGCCTCTGAGACTGGTTGTCCAAGTAAAGTCCCCCCGCGATAAGGGCACACCTGGGCTCCGGCTCAGCCCCGTGGGGCCGGCATCGCCTCTCCCGCTGGCTTATGCTCGGGGGTGTGGCGAGGTAGGTTCTGGGACGGGCTGACTTCTGTCTGCGAGCTCCTGCCAGGTGCCAGCCATGCTCGTCGCAGACTGTTTCCTCTTGTTCTCTCAATGGGCTGCAGGTGGGTATCACTTGCTTTCACACAGGAGGGGGCTGAGGCCTCAGTGGTTAACTTATCCCAGGGAGTGGAGCTGGTGAAGCAGGAAATGTAAATCATCATGCAGACGTGTAGTACTGGCCTGGTATTTATATGAACTTATATTACATAAACGGTGCATGGCTCTAACTATGGCTGATGAAAATGATCAGTGAGTACAAACTTCATTTTCACTTCCCGCTACCTTCACAGTTACAACCATCTATATATATAAAAGCCTAAGCGACCGTCTGACCGTTCGACTGGTAGCTATGATGCGCAATGACCACCGGGGGCAGATGCTCAACGCACAGACATGGAGACATGGAATAGACTGATGAATCTTAGAGGGAAGTGGGGAGGTGGGAGGGCAGGAAGAGATTAACCAAAGATCTTATGTGCATACTAGAGGCCCCTGTGCATGGATTTGTGGGGTCCCTCAGCCTGGCCTGTGGGGATTGGGCCGAAACCGGCAGTCAGGCATCCTTCGAGGGGTCCCAGATTGCAAGAGGGTTCAGGCCAGGCCAAGGGACCCCACCAGTGCACGAATCTGTGCACTGGGCCTCTAGTAAAATTATGTTTTCCGTTTCTTTTTAAATATATGTTTTTATTGATTTCAAAGAGGAAGGGAGAGGGAGAGAGAAACATCAGTGATGAGAGAGAAGCCTGGATCCGCTGCCTCCTGCACAGCCCCTCCTGGGGATCAAGCCCACCACCCAGGCATGTGCCCTGACTGGGAATCCAACTGTGACCTCCTGGTTCATAGGTCGACGTTCACCAACTGAGCCCCGCCAGTCGGGTTATATTTTCCTTTTAAAATGCGTCTGGGGCGTCTGTTTTCAGCATGTGGTTGAACTTGATCGATGTATGTGTCTCTTTCTCAGGACACAGAGCTCTCGAGTTTCTCCACCTTCAGGAGGGAAGCGTCAACTATAGACAGGTATCGTCTGATTTTTCTCTGACTCCAGGTGCCAAAGGTCCTTGCAGACTTAACCAGTAACTGTCAGAGCCTTTTCATGTCTTTATGAACCATTAGTAATATTTGGGGCTAAAAGGCACATTTCCCGGCACTGCTGCTAAGGCACGCAGACATGTCACTGGAAGTCCCTGAGTGCCCGCGTGCTCGCCCCTCCCTTTTAACTCACAGAGGCCTTTTATAATGACACCCCCCGATCCCTTCCAAACACGGGGGGCTGATTTATGTTTTATCTGCATATGTGGGACCCTTGCAGATTCTCCTCCCTCCCCAGCCTGCTCTCGGGGGAGGGTGGAACGCGGCTCACTGGTCCAGTTGGTGCGAGGCTGCAGAGGGCGTGGCCGGGGAGGGGGGGCTGGCCGGCACACGGGCGGATCCCCACGGGCTGGGCCGCAACAGCTCGGCCGGCCTACGCGCTCCAGGTCCACGTTGGGTTGGCTCTGGGTTGTCTTTTGGTGAAATGTCGGAGGCGCCTGCTCCTTAAAGACTGGCGCCGACCAAATGAATCGGGAGCAATGCCTAACGCGGAGAACCGGGCACCCGTTGGCGAGACTGTGAGGACCACTGTGCCTCCCCCGTGGCCGTCGTGGCCGCCCTTTCTGCGGAGGAAATGGAACGTGGTGTGATGACCAGGAGCC